ACCTAATATGTATCACTTAAGACCCTGAAAATTGTACAATTGGGCAAGAATGGACATACTCATTTTACACAAACTCCAGCTTTGCTATGGGCCCTCTGTCCAACATGGCAATGCCATTGGGCAGGCCTTTGTAAGTATGAAAACTGGTTGCACAGGAGTTGGGCAAACAGGAAGTACATTTATTTCCTGGCTAAGCCTTACTAAAGTTTGGTTAAGATTTGTCTGGCCCTGATTTTTTTTTTTTTTGTATGGTATTATACCTCTTCTGGACAAAAGTTCCCTTAGTATAGAGAAGGGTAAGACTTAGCTCTGATAAGAGGGGTCTGAGCTTGTGGGTTAGTTTTTTTCCTCTATTCTTTCTATCCCTTTTTACTAAAATTAGATTCGTTCAGCTGTTATTTCTGCCTTCCTGGCCACTTGCTTCTAATTTCGGTTAAGCTAATGACATTTTAATAAAATGTCATGAATACATTTAAAGATTTTGCATTAACCTTTTAACACTATTTAATCAAAACATCTTAATACTTCATGCTAATAAATTGTATATCTGTATTTTACCCAGAAAGTATTGAACTGCGACATCAAAGGGTTAAGTACGCCATTAAGTCAAATAATAGTTATCTATTTAACAAATGCCTCTAGCACTGACTTGCTTGGTTAAGTTCAATCTACTAATTCATGTAATTCTTTTAAAACTCATAGATAGCTGGGCACCTGTCGCTCAGTGGTTAGGGCTCTGGCCACATGTTCTGGGGTTGTTGGGTTCAAACCTGGTCCAGGCCTGCTAAACAAACAAACAAAAAATAGCCAGACATTTTGGTGGGCTCCTGTAGTCCCAGCTACTAGGGAGGCTGAGGCAAGAGAATCACTTGAGCCAAGAGTTTTAGGTTGCTGTGAGCTATGATGCCATGACACTCTACCAAGGGTGACAAAGTAAGACTCTATCTCAATAAAAAAATATATAATAAATAAAACTTGTGGCATAAGTTTTTCTGTCAGGCAAATACAAAAACCGAGGTATATGACATATATCTTAGGGAATAAGATTAAATAAAACCGTATTTCCCCAAAAATAAGACACTGTCTTATATTTATTTATTCTTTCTCAAGAAGACACACTAGGGCTTATTTTCAGGGGATATTTTATGTTTATTAAGTATAATACAACAATCTACATTTATTCAAATATAGTTAAATCATCTTCTTCTGGAACCTGACAGGGGGAGCCGACCTTGCTGGTGGGGCTGGCACTAGTGATGCATGAACTCCTTTCCCCTGCATAGCCACACCCATTACTAGGTCTTATTATTGGGGTAGGGCTTGTATTTAACAAATGCATAGAAATCCTGCTAGGGCTTATTTTGGGGGTAGGTCTTATTTTCAGGGAAAACACGGTATATCCATACAGTGGAATGTTATGCGGCAATTAATTGTTTATGAAAGATTGCTGTAATATGAGAAGGTGCTTATGATATGTAACCTGTATGTGGGGTCTGCTCTTAGCAATATTAAATATATTTACATATGTAAAGAAATAGAAAAAAAGGCATATAGAAAAGAAGCACACCAAATGTGAATAGTGAGTGGTTCTGTTTGGATAAAAAGATTATGAGTTATTTACATTTTTAATCTTTATACTTTTTCATTTATTTACTTTTTGGTGCTAAGTAGGTATCACTTTTGCAAAATATAAATTCAATATGGAACTGTAAACCTTTTTGTCACCTACCTCAGTAAAGAGTTAAAATATATAGTGGACATTCAAGGTAAAACTAATGCTTTCTGTAGAGAGCCAGTGAAAAATGACCCACCGTAAATTTTTAAAGCTGAGAATTTTGCCACTTAGCACTTTAAGTGATCTTACCATTTCATTGGGCAATGTTCTTTATAGAGCAATATTTCTTAAGTTGGAAATGCTGGTATTAACTCAATGGTTTGCTGCAACAGTTTAGAAAATAGTAATTCACAGTTTTGCAAAATTAATGGTAGCAGTTATGAAAATCCTAAAGCATTTTAGTTCTGTGTCTTATGAGATTGTTACTTTAATTTTTTAAATAAACCTTTTTTATTGAAGTATTACTCACATACTCAACAGTGCACAATTCTTAAATGTATGATTTTTGAGTTTTCACAGAGTGAACATACTTTTTTTTTTTTTT